TAGTAAGGCCCCTACAGAAATAGTATCGTTTGTCTGGGCACGTCTGCGGCTGTGACTGGGGGCCTGGCTTTTGGGGTTTAGAGTTTTTGGGTTTAGGGGTTTAGGGCTTTGGGGGGTTTAGGGGTTTAGGGGTTGAGGGGTTGAGGGGTTAGGGGTTTAGTGGTTGGGCGTTTAGGGGTTTAGGGTTTAGGATAGTTCAGAAATGTTGGCTGTGTGGGGTTTGGGATGGTTTTGGGAGGTTTCAAGGTTCGGTTGAGGCTTGAAGCGTTAGCTTGCCAGAACCAGAGCTGTTTTGGGTGAGACTTTTTTCTGTGTGTCAGGCTTGGGTGTAGAGTTGACACAGCATAAATTTTTAATATCCACAGCAGGATCCCAAAGGGTCCAAGTACCATTATAGTAGGTACTTAGTAGGTATTTGGGCCCCGAAAGTATATACTATACTAGTACTTGGACCCTTTGGGGATTACATCGAAGCCTTAGAGCCCGGTTCAGTTTCGATTTATGAAAGCCTTGCCGCTGTGCGTTGATTTGTTGCTGACTGTGGACTTGGAGACCGTTTGCTTTTGGTGATGGTACTTGGAGGCCCAGGGGACTTAGTAAGTCGGTTATAAGTAAGGTCATAATTGGGGTATCTCCATTTAGGGTACTTATAACTCTACTTATATAACCTACTTACTAAGTCCCCTGGGCCTCCAAGTAGGGTTTTGAGTTGCGGGATATGTCTCCTTGTTCCTCCGCAGGGCCATTGCCAGGGCTCCAAGCGCGGTACAGCTGCGTGTAGCTTGCTTCTGAAACCCGGAAACCTCAAACTTAAACTCCTCAACCTTACACCCCATACCAGAAACCTTAAAATCCTATAAACCCTAAACCAGAAGACTTAACTTAGGGACCCAAAAAGCACATAAGCATAAGCTTTTTATAGGGATATCCCTACCTTATTGGGCTTCATTATAAGGGGGTTTATATGGGATATCCGGATCCTAATTTTTGCTTATGTGCTTTTCTGGGGCCCTATTAACATCTTTGCTAAAACTCAATACCCTAAACCCTAAACCCTAAACCCTAAACCCTAAACCCTAAACCCTAAACCCAAACTCCCTGAGTTCCCGACACTCCGGCCCCGGAGTCTCACAAAACGGAAGAGAGTCGTATGAAGTAGGTGCTTTAGGGTTTAGGGTTTAGGGTTTAGGGTTTAGGGTTTAGGGTTTAGGGTTTAGGGTTTAGGATTAGGGTTTAGGGTTTAGGGTGAAAGACACATATGGGTTCCTGATGGGCATTGGTGGTTTTGGGGTTTATCATGGGCAGACCAGTAACATGGAGTATATAGCAGCATAGCACAATCACTACCATCATGTAACATGTAGGTTCCTTCTGAAAAGAGCCCGTTAATGAAGGATTCCTCGCGTTGGAACCCCTCTTCAACAAAAAGTAAATCTCATTTCACAACCTTCCTAGGCTGCCCGAGCCCAGTGAAGCGCCAGCCGAGGCGAGCATTTCCTGTCGGTTTGTATCGCAACGGTTGTTTGTTTCACGAGTTTTACAGAGCTTTCATAGGGTGCTTAGACAGCTTGGTCGGCTTCTGTTCGGATTTACGTGCCTTGCTTGACTGTGTTTTTCAGGGCTGCACACGAGATCAAAAGAGGCTTAGAGGCTTTTCTAGGAGTTTAATTATGTTATGCCGTGATGCCTCGTTGCAGAATGTTATGCCTCATTGCACCTTCATCTTTTTGTAGTATCAAGAGCACAAAAACCTTGTCCAAGCAGCGAAACCATTGAAGCAACTTCGTAAATGCAAAGGATACTACCACCAGTACTACTCCTGCTGCTGCTGCTGGCGCAGCTGCTTCTACTACCACACACTGCTCCTGATGCTCGCACTTGTACTATGTCATCGTACTGAGCTACTAGTACAATTTGAAGTGCACTACCACTGAGTACGTGCATTTCGAGGCGAATTCCGTCGATGCGTTGAGCTTGCAATTCGAATGCCTGAATCTCAAGTATGTGATCACCTCGTGAGTCTCTCCAGACCCTGTGTCCTGCATTACCGATTTTGTAGAAGCCAGAAAGTTGGAACATGATTATCCGTAAAGTATAACGGATCCTAGCACTAATCCTCCTAAACCTATGTTCCAACTTTCTGGGATTTTCTGTAGGCTCCATTATAATTCCTATTTGTGGTTTATACTTAGGATCCTACAGGGTAGCCCCAAAAAGGAACTACAATAGCGCCTATGAGTAGGGAGACAAAGCCCAGAGAATCCCAGGTCACCACAAGCACAAGCCCTTTTCGAATTATCGAGGCCCGCAAACTAGTTGGAGTCGGCCTCCTCGCAATATAGTGGCCTTGTTTGCAATTGCCTATATATACTATTTCGGGGCTCCTTATTATAATTACAGTATAACATACGCCCAAACCCTATTCTAATTATTCAGGGCCCTACATTAGTTGCAAAGAATCGCAACGAAGCCCCTGGCTCCTTGGATCTCCACCCGAAATCTGTGCCCATCCCTTCACGCGAGGAGTCCGCGCCAATGGTGGCTCGGCTTCATACATGGCAGATCGATGAAGCCAAGCACTACTACTGCTGGTGCTGCTGCTGCTGCT